TATTTAGTAATCTGTGTGTCTGGTATTCCTGGCAATTTTGCTCTGCTTTCTCTCAGGGTAGTAATTTGGGGCTTTTAAATAACTATGGTCATGGAGTCAGGGTTTTACTTCACTGCAAGCAATATGTAGAAGTGACCCCTGTGGTAGATCTCAGCAGGAGTATGGCCAGGAAAAGGCATTGTACTGAATCAGGATCAGTCAGCACAGATTGCATGAGTCAGGTTCAACTTCTTTGGGTGTTTAGATGTGCAATTCCAATTGCTATTCATGCTCTGCTTTGATTACTGATTGCATCTATTTTACTCTGACATCAGCTGACTTCCTTAATTTTTCTTTTTAAACTAACTGTATAATTTTCCCATCCTCCTCTGCCTCTCCTGGGTCCTCATGCCGTGTAAATCCTCTTCCTCCCTGAGCTGCTGCAGTCCCCAGGCACTAAGGGGTTTTTGTCATTCACAAAGTGAACTTCCCCAACATTGTTCATCTCCTGAACTAGGAGGACTCACCATCAATGCAGGGGAAACAGGTTAGAGAACACTTAAACAAAGCCAACACATGTAAGTCCATGGGCACCCATGAGCCCAGAGGAAGCTGGCAGGTGTTATTGCGAGGTCACTCTCAATAATCATTGAAAAGTCAGGGTGATTGGGAGGGTCTGATGACTCCAAGCAGTGTAACTTTTGTCTTCAAGGAGAACAAGAAGGAGGATCTGGGAAACTACATACTGCCTAGCTACACCTTGAAATACACAAAGGTAATGAAAAAAATCCTCTTTATAACTTTGCAAACACACATACGACTAAAAAGCGATTAAGGCCAGTCAGCATGGATTTATGAAAGGGAAATTGTGCTTAACCAATCTCAGAGCAGTCTACAGTGAGAAGGTCTCCTGAACTAGGAGGACTCACCATGCAGGGGAAACAGGTTAGAGAACACTTAAACAAAGCCAACACATGCAAGTCCATGGGCACCCATGAGCCCAGAGGAAGCTGGCAGGTGTTATTGCGAGGTCACTCTCAATAATCATTGAAAAGTCAGGGTGATTGGGAGGGTCTGATGACTCCAAGCAGTGTAACTTTTGTCTTCAAGGAGAACAAGAAGGAGGATCTGGGAAACTACATACTGCCTAGCTACACCTTGAAATACACAAAGGTAATGAAAAAAATCCTCTTTATAACTTTGCAAACACACATACGACTAAAAAGCGATTAAGGCCAGTCAGCATGGATTTATGAAAGGGAAATTATGCTTAACCAATCTCAGAGCAGTCTACAGTGAGAAGACTGGCTTGGTGGATGAGGAGAAAGCAGTGGGTATTTTTTATCTTGTTGTTAGCCTGCCTTTCAGCACAGTCTTCTAAAACATCCTCGGAGATAAGCTGATGAAGTGTGGAATTGTTAAGTGGACAGTGAGGTGAAACCTCTGCTATTTTGTGATTCTGGTAACACTTAGGATCAGCCATAGCTCTTCTCATACCAGAGAGCTGCGGTCTCCAGATGTTTCTGTTTGAATTAGCCATGTGCAGTGTAGCATATCCAGAAAGTTATCTGAAATGTGGCATATGAAAGACCCTAGGGCAGCCTTTGTGGCCCTAAAGACAGCAGCATCAGCAATGTGATTGCCACAAGCAAGCTTTTCTCTCCTTGTTGGATTATTTGATTTCTGTGAGCAATGTGAGATGATCTCAGCACAGATGATCTCTTAGGGGACAGGACAAGTGAGGAAGGTCTTTGGCCAGCTTTTCACTCTGACCTCATTTCTGCTGTTTCCAGTTAGTAAGTGAGGAAGCAGAACTGCCTTGGGGGGCACGTCTCAGATGAGTGTTTTTCATTTCTCCAAATCAGTTGTGTCAAGATTTAAATTTCACGTCTTTCTGAAATTGTGTCATCAGTGATGTGGCTTAAGTATTCTGTATCCAAGGGCTGCCCAATCTATTTGTTCTTCTGAAGACAGTCATAGAGAATACAAACCACAGCACAAGAGTGTCCTCTTTGCTCAGTGCCTTCTGTGCCTGGTGGAAGCTGTTAAGCAAAGGTCAAAGCCACATGGCAGCAAGGGCATCCAGCACCTTTTAGCTTCTAGAGGAGATAGCAATTCCCTGTGGCAGGATCAGGTCCTTCACCCCCAGCAGAATGTCCCTGCCAGGACGTGGCATGGACCATTTGGTGGGGCCTTCTGCCCCAAACACCAGGTGAGCAGTGGAGGCACAAGGACTGCCTGCTGACCTCATGTCTACAGCCTCACCCCTGGCACCTGCAGGTGCTGGCAGCCTTACATTGGACCCTGGCACCTACAGCAATGGGTAATGACTGCCACAAGAACAGCTGTGACCAACTTAATGTCTGTGGATGCTAAAAACATTGGGTGTCATGAGAAGCTGTTTGCCAAGCATCCAGATTTTCTCTGCTCAAGTCACAGCAAGGACAGGAGGTAACAGCCATGATCTTCAGTGCAGACCAGCAGTGGCTGTGGGCAGAGCAGGATCCTTCGGGGCAGGGCCCTCCAAGCTGACAGCAAAAGCAGCAGTGCATTTCAGGGTGGAGAAGGGCTGGCTTATGTTCACTGCCTATAGACTTCCCTGATTCCCCACAGAGAGGAGTGGGATTCCCTGCCTGAGAGGCTGGAGATGGTAGAACAAGGGGGTACATATGGCATGACTAGAGATTCACTGACTCAGAGGAAAATCTAGGTGTAGGAGGACAGCAGGAGAAAAAAGAATGAATATTTGGTCTTGGGATGGGTGAATACTGGATGAACAAACAGATCTTGGCCCAAATGAGTTAAAATAAAAAGTAAATGGATGGTGTCTTGCCAGTTTACTCCACTGGAGTCGATACATATTGGTCTCTGTATGCTCAGGAGAAAACTTTAGGTCAGACTGTAATCCTGCTCTGACCCTCCTGCACTTTAATGCATTTAATCACCTCACCAAGGACAGAACTTTCCAGAAGCACCAAAAACCTGCCAAGAGAAATGAAAACCAAAATCTGTTTCTCCTTGCACAGATGGGTTAATGCTTGGCCTCCAAGGCAGGAAGCCAGTGGAAAACCTCAGCCAGCAGAGCAGGTATGGCAGCTCCCTGCTGATGGGGGATTCGTACAGAGTGCTGGATTAGCAGCACAGACCACCATCACACCACCTATGGAGAGTGACAGATCAAAGCAGTGAAACACACAAAGCTCACCTGAGGAGCATCACCCAGCAGGTTACTCTGCTCTCCTCTCTTCCTCTTGCACAACACAAAATGCCCCACTGGGAATGGGCAGAGGGAATTTTTTTCCTCCAGTTCAAGCAAGTTATGTTCTGGGGTTTTATTGTTTTATAACTCAGTAGTTAATGATAGTTGTGTAGCTAATTTAACAGGGCTTCTGGTGTTACTTGACTTGCTCTAACTTAACTGAAGCACTTAGACTGAGTACTTCATTGAAATAATACTAAAACTCTTGTCATGCACCAGCCTCCTCTTGTGAAATTCCAGAAAATGCTCCTTCAGAGATAGTGAATTATCTACAGCTTAGCCCTGCTTCCTCCCAGTTCCTTGTGGAGCCCTTCCTTGGGGACCAGAGGAGTTTGCCTCACTTGTTAAATTCGCTGTTAACATTCACCGTTAAGACCTTTATGCACAGCAGTACTGATAAAGGTAAGAAAGAAAGAAAGGTTGGTGTACAGCCAGAGGGAACTAATCCCCATAACCACGATTTGCCACACCTTTATGCACAGCAGTACTGACAAAGGTAAGAAAGAAAGGTTGGTGTACAGCCAGAGGGAACTAATCCGCATAACCACGATTTGCCACTCACAAGCATGTCTGTGTCCTTCCTGCAGCATGGCAGTCTGTCCCTGAGCCACAGCACCAGCTCCCAGCCCTGGCAGCAGGAGGAGAATGCTGCTCCATGGCACCCAGCAGCCGGGCTGGGGTGGCCTCGGCAGCTTGGTGAGGGTGCAGACTCTCCACACAGCAGATCTTTCCTGACCCCACAAAAAAAGTCTGGCTTGCTCTTTCCTGTAAAACTAATGCTTTCTCAAAAGGTCCTTTCTAGGTGCCTACCAAGGGAGTGCTTCAGTGTTTTAAAAAAATTGGTCTCCTGAGAGCCCTATTCTTGTAAGAGAAAAAAATCTCATTATTCAGAAAAAAGCTTAAGGTTTTTTATCTTCTCAGTGGGTTTTTCTTGGCCACCCACACTCCCTCAAACAACATATAGCTACTCTTCTCTAAGATGGATCACTCCTTCATACTGGAAACCTGGCATCCTGAACTCCAGACAGCCTTCTCCTTCTCTCTTGTCATTGCACAGAGTGGATTCATGGTTTTCCATACTTATTCTTGAAGTTTAATTTTGCTTTGAAAAGCTCATGCAAAATTTTACCTACTTGATTAAAATCTTGGTCTACATGACCGTCACAGAAATTGTGAAGCTGGGCTTGGCCTCCTCTGCCACACTCTTCCTTGTGAATTCTTTGGGTTCTAGTAATGGAACTGTATCAAAGTATTGCAAAGATAATCTGTGATGATAAAACCTGAAAAGAGATGTTGTACAACAGGCCTTCTTCCCATGCAGAGACCAGAAATGTGTGTCTTTCCCCCATTGCCTATTTTCATTATCAAAATGTGGTGCAACTGAATCTTTGGTTCATCTGTCAAATTTATTTCAAAACTAGTAAGCAAGTTCAAAAGCTTTTGGTGGAATCTGCCAGGCATGACAGATGACTGGTTAACACTAGTTTTGTTAGAGATCTGTATAAAAGGCTCTACAGAGGCATCTGGACAGGCTGAATTGATGGTCCAAGGCCAATTGTCTGAGGCTCAGAAAGGCCAAGTGCTGGGTCCTGCACTGGGGTCACAACCACCCCATGCAGAGCTACAGGCTGGGAGCAGAGTGCCTTGTTCTGTTGGGTCTTTTGGAAGACTTTAACTGAGGCTTACTGTAAACCTGGGGTAACCTCTTCTCTGTTCAGGTGCCGTAAGTTTAAACTTGGTTTGGGTTACAATTTTTCTATAGCAAACCATCTTCAAGCTTGATGAGAAGCTGAACTGCAATTTTAGGACGAGATGATCAGGAATGCTGCTGTGCTGAAGCTCGGTGATCACCAGTTGATAACAGTGCACCTCATTGTTATTTTTTAAAATTCCTGTGGACATTAGTAGTGACATGCTGACAATACACTATATGATTATGGTTTCATAAAAGACTCTGAGTCCTTAAAGAAGAAAGAAGAAAAACTTGATTCACTGTGTTGCACACACCCAGACAAATATTCATCTTATCTTATTAGACTACTTTTTGTGGTAGTTTTTCAGGTTCTACAGACTTTGGTGGGCTTTTATGTGAAATGTTTAAAAAGGCACACTTTTTAAAGAGGGAGTAGGTTTCAAACAAAATTGCTGGCAACTGTGTTAGCCCCCCACGTTAGCCCCCCACTATTATCACTGGGAAATGTGGCTGACTTTAATATCTCTAAGTTTATTTGTCTCAGACTTTACTTGCCAGATCACCATCTGTCCAGATACTGTCCATTACTAATATGTGTACTCAAGGCAAGTGTAAGGGTACTCAGTATTTTCTCTCTCAATATTTTTATGATTAAATTTACAGGGAGAACAGATCTAACCCACTATATTAATGTTTGTCATTTAAGACAGATGCCAAATTGTCCAAAAGAAATTGAAGACCTTTGCATTGATTCAAAGTAAGGAAGTTGTGATAAGTACTCTGAACCTCAAAGGTCTTCTTGAAGTTTGTATAATAGGAGCAACATTTTCCTTGGAAATCCTCTCCACTCCCCCAAAAAAATCAGTGAGGCGTGGGAAGGCCAAACCCATTTGGATAAATAAGCTAGTAAAAAAACCCTAAAGCCCCTGATATATATACTCTTAATGATAACTGGTTGTAACTGATTATTACTTTCATACACATTTGTCAGTTTTCTTTTACATGAAAACATTTGTGTATTTTACTCTACACTAGGCCACTGAATCCTATTCCCCAACCCTGAGATGCCTGCTCCTCAAGTTATCTTGAAAGCAAGTCAGCTCTTTGTGTGAACACTGTTTGAGTCAGGAGGCAATAGAAAATGGGCTCTAGGGAAAAAGGAGGAAAAAAAAAACCTTTGTACCTTTTTTCCCTTGAAATATGCAACCGAGAGCTAATAAAACTTAATGCCCCTATAAAACATCTTAACTGGCCATCCCAGGTTAATAAACTCTGAAGTGTGAGGTACTAGAAGCTGCCTGAATGCTCGCTGCAGTAAGAAACCCCTACAGTATCCTCTTAATATGAGAAAGGATTGTTCCTTTTTGTTCCCCAAAGACAGCAGGTGATGCAACATCAAACTTTGGTGGAGACACACATCTTCAGCTCAGGGGTTCACTTCTCTGCTCTCACTGAGGCACCCCATTCATATCCATGTTTAGCAGTTTTACAGGGGGTCTGGGGAGATATTTGTTATTCCTTATTAAAGCTGTTCTATAACAAATCGATCACTTGCACATACTGCAGGGCAGGATGTCCAAAACTCCCAAAAGCATGTCTGCTTGGCCCTGGCTGGGGCCACCAACCTTGCCCCAGCAAACTCGGACTGGACAGAAATGTTCAGAGCAGGGCAGGGACTGAAATGATGACCCCTGCTTTGGGAATGTACACTCTCCAAGTGGCACTTCTTTTCAGTGCATCATCCATCATCATATAACTTTTCATACTGGCTGTCTCAGATCCCATTTGGAAGCCATGATTCTGTGATTCAGATAATTAAAATCCCTTCTAAGAGCTGGCCTTTCTGTTTATTCCCATTCAGTTGTGTTGCTGTAAATGTCTTCCTAGTGCAGAAACATCAGGAGATGAATGCTTGCCAGGCTAAATGTGTGTACCGATTGCTTGGTCCATTTCCTCTATTTTTCCTGGAATGTTCTCAAACTTTAAGTTCTAGGGGAAAATAAATATACTTAGTTTATGAAGTACAAAGGAAAACTTCACACTGTGGCAAGCCACCTCACGGCACAACAGCAACAGCGTGCACCACCCCAGGAAACGCAGGAAGCTGCATTCCAAAGCTGTTGTTTACTGCAAAGCTGCAACAACCTGCAGGGGCAGCACTACCTCGGGAATAAAATAAAATTTAAAAAGAGGAAAAATCAAGCGGGCAAATTCCTTTGCCAAAAAAAAAAAAAAGTTTGCAAACTAAATCTGGCAGATTTGTTTTAGCAACTTCAGCAATCTCTTGGATTGGAAGTAGAATTAATTACTCTATTAATTTAGTATGGAAACGTAGGGGTCACAGGGCTCATATGTAAGAGGAAATTCATTCCTTCAGAAATAAAATGTGTGGAAAAAATGTCTACTCATATTGGCTTTCACATTAAAGAAGTATTTAATTTGGCAGGATTTAATAGTGTTAGTTTCCTTACCTCTGCATCATATCCAGCTATTCCTCATTCTGAGACTAAATTAATATATGTCTTACATGTATCTTCAAAAGATGTAAAAAAACTTGCAGCTGCCAAGGAAGGATGCAATTCCCAAAGATGCAGGAATGCTGTCTTTAGAAGCAGTCGTGCCCCATTATTTTTTTTCTATTCATACTATGAACATGTGTTAAAAGGAGTTGCTCTGTACTGTAAGGTTAACACGTGCCTTGTATGATAGGTACACAACTGCATGGTGCAACTTTCAAATGGGCTACGCTACCAGAGATGAAAGCAGTTCTAGCTAAGAGAGAATGCCACTTTTATATATCCTCAGAAGGTCCATTCGATAAAAGTTTTGTTTCTCTTCCCAATCCTTTGTTTCAGTCAGTTTTAGATGGGACTTCTGGCTCTAACAGTTATTTTAAGGATTCAGGAACTAGACTCTGAACAGGCCAGAGGCAAGGCAAAGGTGTTAACTGTTCCTTTTAAGCAAACAATTATGCAAATCATTTTAATAAGCAAGCTGCTAGTCTTAGCCTAAAAGACAAAGCTTGAATCCAGACTGAGCAACAATCAAATGGAAATCCTTGATTTCTCTACAGGTGTTAGTAATACTAAGTAGCATAGGTAATAGTAATTTCAGAAATCCAAATTTCACAAATGTAGAGCAGCTTTAATGTTTTTCTCATATTGGACCATAGAAAAAATGGAGTTGCACCTCAGTATTTCAGCCATTTTAAAGCCAACAAAAGTTTCCAAATACCCCGGCACACATTCCAAGGGAATTCTTTTGAATTAAAAAAAAAAACAACAACAAAACAACCAAACAAAACAGACTCTATTGTTCTCTTCCATTAAAGAACCTCATGTAAACACCACATGTTTTTTATATCCTGACCAGTTTGGCTCAGGGCTATCGAGTGACTCAGGAGCTGGACTAGCAGCTGGACAATGTCTGCTGGCTGGTCCCCTGCTCAGGGCGCTGAATTACAGAAAGAGAAGGTTTAAGTGATGCTAATCTCCAATCAGACTGAGACAAAGCAGTTTAACATTTGATCACTTGAGCATCTTCTCTACACAAAACTGTGCACCCTGCTGTCTTTAATTCAATGCATACAAGAGATCTACCGGTCCAAGAATTGTTTCTGTCACCTTTTGTAGTCCCCCTTTGATTTTTGTAAGTTAGATTGTCTCAACGTCTTCAGTAAACTCTTGGGAAAAAGGACTGTATAGGTGCACACCTTATTCTTTTAGTCAAGTTACTAATACAATTAGTACAGGACAATCTCTACTTATACCAACTAATGTAATATGATAATTACAAGGACAATAAAAATTATAAAAACATAGAGTCTCTAGCAATTAGAGCCCTGGACTACTGAATAACACCACAGAGAATGAAGGAAAAGCAACTAATCACCAATTCTTTGCTGAAGCAGGTGCTATATTAATAGCTACACATGAACAAACAGTATTTGCTCATTAACCATTTCAAAATACAAAACTAGTTTGGCTCTTAAATTGCTTAATGCAAGCATATTCATCACATCTCAGTCTCATAGATAGAAGGCTCACATAATTTTCTTGGTGAAGGAATATTTCATATAATCTCAAAATAATCATTGCTTGAGTCTTCTTTTAAATCAACATCTCTATTTGTAACTAGCTATCTTTTCCTTATGCCCAGACTAACACATGGCCAAAGCAAGGGAAAACAAAAGGTCAGAAGAATCAACTAAGTCTTGGTATGAAAAGAGCTCTGTGTTGAAAGGCTCCTCTATTAATCCACCTTGCTTACTGGACAAGACTAAACTAATAATCACTATCATCATTTGACTCCTGTGGCAAAACTTTTGACACTTCTCAGCAGGCAGAATCAGACCTTTACCTTTCACCCTCAACAAAAAAGTGTAGGTAATTAACAGATTTTCCTGTTTACAAACTTTGCAACATTTCAGAACATCAAGCAGATATTCTAAGCAGTTGCTTTTCCTTTGAGCAATGAGAACACAATAGACTCCTTATTAAACATTCTGTTTTAAGTGAAACTGAGTCTAAGGACACAGACCAAAGTCTTGTAGGCAGAGCCTTATTACAGTAACTAGAAACATCATCAACTTTCAGATATACATGTCCTTATTGAGAACTCATGTACCTGAAAACTTCTCCACTTTTCTTAGGCAATCTGTAAGTAGTGTAATAAATAGTCATTAAGAGGTTAATTCTACCTGTAAATCTTGCCTGGCATGTAGTTTATGCATGGTAGCTCATAACTAATCACCATTAACTGTATGACAATAAGAATTTCTTGGGAAAATAAGAAATTGCAAGGGATTGCATGTTCAAAATCATAATTTATTGATGTATTTTTTAATCATGTAGCTCCTTGCAAAGATACAGTTCATAAATTATAGAACAAGTATAGTTCTTTCCACAGCTTTCATATTTTAGTCCTCAAGTCCAGGTCAGTATTTTGATACAAGACGGTCAAAGGTAAATTATGCAAAATGGCTTAAAAAAAACCTACAGTAAAAAGCTTCAGTTCTTCCAGGATCCAAGACACACATAATAAGCAGCATTACAATGTCTGCACTACACCCCCAAGCGATATATGCAGGAGAAGCAGCGTACAGTACCTGTACCAGACCTCAAGGAACACTTCATGATTAGCAGTACACAGCACCTGAACACCTACAGCAGCCTCAAAATTTATTTAGTAAAACAAATGCTCAAAGGGTTTACAGCATGTGTGGCAAGGTTAGATGATGGGTAGTAACACATTACAATCATGTCCAAGTGAGCCCTGCTTAGCTGTGTATTCACACCAGGCCAGTACACAAGCAGGACACACCACCATTTCACCCCTGCACTGTGACACTCCCCAGGCAGGGCCACGTACCTGCAAACTCATCCTACAGTACAAGGGAACAACTCATTGCATGTATCCCTCTCCCCTCTGCACACATCCCCTGGAGAAGGCAGGCTCCACTGAAATTCTACCAAGATCAAATTACACTGATGACCAACTGACTGCATTGGTGGGGATGTACCTCTGCAGTTAAATTTTATATTTTGTGCTTGCTCGCCATTGACGGGTTTTCCTTAAGGTTGACGTCAACAAAATGCCAGATCTTAAAGGCAAACAAAATAAGTTTAATTTAAAGAAAACATTTATTTGAAGTTCTTTTAAGTCAGAGTTTAACAGATGACAACTTTCTCCCTTTTCACATTTCAAGTCTTCAGCAGAGACCATACACACTGTCCCATGGACAGTGAGATTTTCCTATTGATTCCTTTTGAACGAATCGGAGTCTAGGCAGATGAACATTCACATTTTAAGCAAACTGATTAAAAATTTTTTTTTAAAAACCCAACACAACAAAACTTTATCAAATTCTTATCACAAATAAAATGTGTTTAACACTCATAAGCTTCTCAAAACAAAAATCAAAACAAAATCCCAGCAATTCACAATCAAATAGAACATACTGCCTTCAAGAAATTTCCCAGAATTTTAAAATGCTCCAAATATATACACATTTATAACTTAAGTGCTTATTAGCTACAACCTTTTACTCATGCAAAAGTTGTGAGAGGAGAAGGTGTTTCTTAGAGCGGCTTTTCTGAATATGCAGTAAAACTCTTCACTCGTGCAAAGAACAGAGGGGTGTACATCTTGTCAATGTCAAAAGTAGTAACAGCTGTCTCACCAGTTGATCTGCAAAGAGCATTGTAAAAGTTAAATGAGACACAAGTTGTTGTTTGAGTCCCTCAGGCAATCATGTTCCATAGTACTGTGTGTGCACCAAACTACAGTTGGAATAAGTGTCTTTTTTGATGCCTCGTTCTGAAAGCACTTGACTTTTAGCTGAGCAACGCTATACAGAACATTCATAGCTAAGAAACCACTTTCCCCTTCCACTCGTATTATGAGCTCCAAGACCTGAGCAGTGCAGAAACTTCATGCTGAAAAGAATGTCTGCAATATAAATTAGGTATGACAACATTAGCTTTTAAAAAAGCAATTTTTCCATTTATGGAAGTTACCAATACTCCCAAACCCCAAACAGTTTATTTCCTGCATTTTATACTCTCACAGCTCAAGAGCTGAGCTATGTTCCTATAAAAACACTGAATATTAAGAATACTGGAAGACAAGGACTAAATCCACCCCAACTGCCAACATCAAATCTGGAAAGCCAACTTGCCAGTAATTTGCAGTGTCAGCTGCAAGAACAGTGGTCATGGCTCCTGCCTGGTAAGTGATCAGAACAGCTGATCACAGGCCCATATACGGCACTGCTGAATTATACAGTTAGTAACATTAGAGTTCTCACATGAAAAGTACAGACATCTTTAGTCTGCACATCCACAGTGGAATAGATATGTATTTTAATGAATACACACTTTCTACACCCCCTCACTAACACCACATTAATTCAACCCTGATTCAGTTCTGAAATCAAATACTCTGCAAAAATCCTTTAAAGAGCTAAAAAGCTATAGTTATACTACTTAGGAAACTTCCTATTATCATTAAAACAGGTTACCAAAATCTTGGGATTTCTTTACATAAAAGTTCATAATGTATTTAAAATCAGGACCAGTTACTGTTTTCATTACATTTTATTAAAGCCACCTAAGTTTCAGACTCTTTAGATTTTCTATACTTAATACTGGACAAGTCAATATCACTTTTAATTCTACAGTTTAGTATATTTCTTTGCTCTTATTCTCCATTTACTCACCTGCAAGTGATGTGACAAGAATGATGTATCCACACAAGTTTGTTGAACCTCTGGCGCCCACTGGAGCACAACTGTAGTCCTACATGGAAACTGTGATCCGTTTCTTGAGCAGGAACTCGGCGGAAATACCTGTATTTGTGGTAATCAACTGGTTTCTGTACAGAGAAATAACAAATTTCATGACCTACAAAGATCACATTGTGCAACTATTTATCCTAAGTAATTGTGAGACCAGATTGGTTAAAACTCTCATACTTAAAAACAAGTACTACTGTTCCTGCAAAATACATAAATGTTTATGTTAATGATGGAAGAAGTTTTCACAGAAAGCAAAAGAAGCATACAGGACACCACCCAAGTGTGCATAGTCACTGTGACACTTCTTACTCTTCACAAATTTCTCCTGACTAGCACTCTGGTCATCAGAAGAATTTTTTCTGAGTTCAATTAACAAATACTGCTTATCTAGTTTTACTAGATGTTGTGGACCATAACTGCATACAGTCAAATTTGTTCTGAGAAAATGAGAATCATCCTTCTTTCCCGTTAATAATGTTGACACCTAATAGTACTATAAATGGAAACTAAGTCTAAGGGGGAGAACAACTGTTTAAATTTGAACCAGGTATTTATTTGCCTTAATAAATTATTAGATTTAGGGACAAATGTAAGTGACATACTTATTTATTTATATTTTATTTTTAAACTGTTTAAAAATTAAATTAATTTTTAAATCTTTTGGTGTAAGGCAAATCTTTGGATCCCTTAAAACACCCAGTCTGAGTAAAATCTTGTTAATCTATTTCTCCTCTATTCTATTTTTCTACGTACCTCGTCCTTTTTCTTCATTATTACAGCAAATACTTTGGTTTGATTGTCTGTTTCCTGGGAAAGGCGATAATGGCCAAGCAAGATTGCATCCGTTCTGGAAGGTAAAAAAGGAGGATAATGTCAAGGACATGAAAATATTCTGTGTCTCAAAAGTGTGATATTCTTATAATACAAGTATCAGCAATGAAACAAAGACTGACTACATAGCATAATGATACAAACTATTTCTTATTTCCATTCAGTAAAGCCTAATCAATGATATTAAATTGTGAAAAGATTTTGGAAAATTGCTTTTAATTTTCCCAAACAGAACTATAAATGTAAGTCAATTGGTTCTACCTAGCCTACTGCTAAATATTTACAGATTTCTGGTGAACACCTCAAACCTGAAGTTGCAAAACTATTTTCTGTGTTTTTATGTGCAAACATCGAAAAGTACTAACTGCAATATATCCCACTGAAATCTTCACTTGCCTTCAGTTAAGAAAGTGTGAGAAGGCAGACAGTAACAAAAAAATATCTTTAAAAGGATTGTTCCATCTACTTGCCTTAAAAATTTCAAATCACATAACCCACAAAGGAAATCTAATTACAATATCAGGACCCTAAAATGAAATATATCTTTATATAAAAATGAAAAGTTTTTGTAGTTCTTATAAACATCTATAACACAATATAAATAACATTGTTTTGCTATAACAGAACATAGAATCTGAGACAAAAGTAAATAGAAATTGCTGGGTAAAAGCAAAATGAAAACTGTAGAGCCAAATACTTTATTTCAAAATAACCTTGTGTTTTTAGTCCGTAAGCGAGGAACTATAGATTGAGGATCTTCAGGAGTTGTTAGCATCATAACTTGACCATCTGGAAAGAATCTCAAATACCTGCAAAAACATAATTACACAATGCAAACCTAGAAAATACATCCTTTTCCTGTTTGTTTGCTTTTAAAATCAGAGGATGTTACCCAGAAGGATTTAGAACTTAATTGGTAATAGCATTTGAAAACACATTTCTTCACACATAACAGAAAAAAAATCAGAAATCAAAAGAAAGTTATGAATATTGAAAGAGGAAGTGATGAAATTTTGTCACCTCTACCAAAGCAAGGTGGCTACTGTGGGATCAAAACTGACCTCAAGTTTCTCCATTCCTATCCACTGAGACCAATGCAAAACAATCTCAATTACAGCATTAGTACAAAATTAGTAATGTCATACAGACTTTTTTAGGTTCTGGTACCTGATTGATTTTTACAGTACTCCAGTACCGTGCTAATGTTTGAGACTACAGCAATAGCCATCAGGTTCAATGGTGACTATGAACAGTTTCCAGCCTCAGAGGAGACTGCAGAATGAAACAATAAATGCTGGGAGCACAAGATGAACAACAGCAAAAAATCAGGCTGAGGAAACAAATGGCAAGGCATTTACAACAAGATGAGAAAGCTCAGCCTCTTGATTTTTACAACTGATTACACATATGCTAAATGACTGATCTTGTATAATCACATGTATTCTCTTTGCTGAATTGTGTCATGTGTTGTATCAGACACGTAAAGCAAAAGTCATTTAGGGAAAGCAATCTGTAGATAATTATTAATTGTTATAAGCCTTCAAGCTTTTGCCACGTGACATGGTTTAAGAGAGGATGAAACATGTTTTTAAGCTCATTTCTAATTATCACAGAATTCTATTATTAGATCTATTATTAGATTCTATGTCTAAAACCTATTCTCAAAAAATACACATCTTACACACTGTAGCAGTCCCATTCAGTTTTACAGAATGATTATTGCCTGTGATAGCCAGGGGTGGATTTAAGGAACTTAAGAGAGAGAAACATTTCACTCACTCATTGTACTACAGCTCTACCTGTAATATTCCACTTGGTGCCATGCTCTATAGAAACCATCAAGAGACTGTTCTCCTTGACGTATGTATTTTGTCTTGCTGACATATACACCTACAGAAAAGGAAGATATATGAACAAAAACTAACAACATAAAATATTTATGATGAAAAAGCCAATAATCTAAAACTTTTGAATATGGTTTTGTTACTTAAATACATGGAAGTTTTTATTTTCATCTCTTGCACTTTTCCCTTCTCTTTGCATATATTCCACAAATTGAAATGCACAAACAAATTCAGATTAGGTCTAACAACAAACATCACAAACACCAAACCCACCTGACTGTTTTTGTCACACATAGTTACAACTATTTCCAAAAATACAACTTACCATCAAATCGAACGCGAGGCCTTTCCAAAAACATGTGCCTCCAAGATGTATATGGAACAAGTTTATTGCAGCTCCTGCCCCATATTTTCAAACACACTTGATGCCAGATTTCAGGATCTCTAGTGAAAACAAGAAAAAAGCAAACCCCATAACTTCCCTACAAACCCTGTTTATCTTTTATATATCAAAGTAACACTCTCCTACTTAGTTTGGATGCAACTAAAAGAAACTTTCTTGAACAAAAATAGCTCATAATTTAAAACCCTTGACTAATTTACTTAATCCTGGAGTGTTTGAAAGCCTTTTCTTATTCCCAGTGAAACTGAAGAACAGACTGTCATTTTCATCCAAGTACAGAACCACAACACTGCAGCACCCTGGCACTTCTCTGTGTGGCTATATGAGCATGACAACAGACCATATTTTGGAGACCCGAAACACTGATTTGCAAACAAGATAGAGCAAGTAATACTTTCTGCTAGATTTTTATTACAGTAAAGTCATCTATCTCACATACCATTTAG